GGTGAAGATCATCCGGGCCGGCTGACTTAATGTCCAGCCCCTCCAGAAGCTCCCTAACTAAATCCTCACTCACTCTAGGCCCAGGTGAGCCTCCCCCGGGGCCCAAAGGGGGCCCAGCAGTTTGCTACTGTTCAAAAATGGCTGTGCATCACTGACATCAGCAAAGTAACTAGTATCTCAAATTGCAACACCACCACATTTTGCCTCCAAAAAAGAATGCAAGCTGAAAAGAGACTTTACCCTGTGCCTTGAGCCGTCTCATGTAACGTTTGGCAACCTTTTCAGGCTGAGCACCAAAATGACCCAATCCAGTTTAGAAGCAGGCGGACGGGCAGGAGCTAAGGCCCAGTTGCCACTTTTCCCTGCCACAGCGTTGGAGATGGTCTCCACCGCTGAAGTCCTCCAGCCCCACCAAGTGCTATATACACAGGCTAAATCCAATGGCTCCCTGGGCCAGATCTGGCCTGCAGGCCATAGGTTGGACACTTGGTCTAGTGCACCAAGGAAGGGTGGGATATAGCTGCCATAAGAGAGCTTTGCACTACATGGCTAGGGACTGACATGACACACAAACTGGTGTAAGTAATCAGAAACTGGTTTAAACCTGTGACAGAACAGATGTTCAGTGCACATAAAACTGGCTTGAAAATAGCTGAAACTGGTCTGAGATAAATCTGGTTGAATGCAGTATTAGATTTAACTGATTTGGGTCAAACTGGTTTATGCAATGTCTGTCCCAGACCCCCTTCCTGATTTAAGTTATATCAAACTCTTCCAGCATTCCAGCATGCTCTTGAGGCTGGGTGGGGCTCTCTGCTCCACAGCAGGGCTGGCCCCTCCCCTCTGCTCCATGGTTGCAGCTCTGGGAGAGACTGCATGTACAGCAGGGTCCACCTGGCTTCTCCTGCTACCCCCATCCCCTCTGCCTTACACAGACACCTCTCAACATTAGCTAGCATACCACATGTTGGCTACAGTCTGTGCTGTGGGAGACCGGACAAAGGGAGACAGGACAGGCTTAGGGCTCTTCAGAGCTAATCAACAGGTAGTTGGTAATGTCCCTCCTTCCTTGGAACAAGTTGTTTAAGAAGAGCTTGAACTAATGAGAGATCCTTTTCTTTTGGTGATGGGGTGATAAATGCTGTATAAATCCATACTGGCTCCCTCACTGACCAGTAAAGGGGTGGGGGGAAGCCTTCCCTAATCAGAGCCTCTTGCTAGGGCCTGGCCATGCAGCCCCTACCTCTCAGTTCAACATTGTGCAAGGGAAGGCTGCTCTAGCACCCACTGGCTTCTAGTCTGAGCCACTGCAGGCATGTGCCTGCATCTTCTCAGTCCAGAGGGGATGTCTGTGCAGTTACAAACTGATTCAGCCTAGGCAGGGTTAGACTAACCTGCAAAAATTTAATCAATTCAGGCTCAGGCTTTTTGGGTGTCTGTCCCTAGCCCATATGGCATGCGTCTAGTTCCTGGACACTGAAATGTGGAGTCTCCTGTATTAACAGTAATAATCACCAAACCATCCGTTTTACTAGCAGGCCACATATTAGATACCTAAATAAATAGCGTGTTTTACAAAATTTCACATAGCTGTCATCTCCCAATGAATTCAGTGGAGACAGCTAGTTGATCAGCACTTGTGAAACATCATAAGCATGATAAAAGATTAACTACTGACTTAACAGCCTAACTACTGGCCCCTAATTTTGAAAAATCTTAGCCAACAGCTTTGGTTATAAATAGAATGTTTGGGATTATATTCAATCTAGGATCCAAAAAGGATTTCTGTTTCTACTATAATCACAGATGATAACCCATCCTATCACTATCTAAGTATTAACAATGAACACTGTGCAAGACAAATATTTATAATAAAAGAAGGTCCATATGGAAGACAAAGTACATTGTGTACTTGGAAAAAGAAACAATTATTGGGATTTAAAATAAAAATGAAACATATAGAAACCAAGAATGGCTAAGAAAGAAACATGGAGAAAGAGGAATACTACCGAAATATTACAGAGGAAACTGTTTACTTACAAGGCTAATAATTTTACCCATGCACAAGTATATTTACCCATGTCCCTTATTCTAAATAATTTTAAATCTCCGATTGAAAAATTTTGCCTAAGCACAGGTATTAACCACAAAGATTTCTCTTTGGAAACAGACCCCATTTTTCTATTGAGTAAGGCTAGGGACAGAAATTACACATAAAGTAGTATTAATCAGAAACCAATTTAAACCTGTAACAGAACAGAAGTTCAGTGGATACAAACTGATTTCAAAATGGTCAAAATCAGTTTTAGATAGACCTGGATGGACGTAGTATCAGACTTAATGAATTTAGGTAAAACCATTCTATGAAACTTCTATCCCAGAGCCCCTCCTGACTTATGATACTTTGCAATCCCCCAGCATCCCAGGATGCCTTGCACCTTCA